TTTTCCAAATTTGATCTTATAGACAAGACATAGATATATAAATTTGTACAAAATTCCCAGAAATTGTGATTATTGCAGCTTCCCATATCTATGGAGTTGTAAGCGATCTTATCATATATAAATATGGACATATATTCGTGGATGATGCGTAATGGATAAATATGTGTTAGGAAGGAGACCTGGGAAAATTCTTTATGTGAAAATATCAAGAGAAACTAAGAACGCATGGACAGACAGCTGTGGACATTGAAAATTAGTAGGTGTGGTTAGAGGCATAACTTTCTCTGTTGGTGTATCTTTTCACTCATCAGTCTCTCTTGTTCTTTTGTTTCAAGCAAACTTACAAGCTCTTGTCTTTTTTACTGCTGCATTGGGAGCTCTATCATATGGCTATATGTGGTGAAATGTGAGATTAAGTTTGAGATTAAGTGGTCAGAATGCAGGTGGACACAAACGGGTGGACATCAATGAGTAGACACAAACACATGGACAAACTGTATGGACATGTTGATTGTTCATAACTTTGTCAATAGATGTTGCATCCAAGACATTTCATCCACGCCACACATGTAACCTGTGGAATGTATCAAATCAAAAAATGATTTATATGTATTTCATCTACGAATACTTATCCACAAAAACTTGTCCATTCAATAGATGTATATATATACCTTCAATAAAATACCCTATTGTTCTCATATGGCAATACAGCATACACAAATACCTCAGCCACAGAGATGTACAACTAGTAATGGAAAACACTTGATATATACAATTTTCGATGGACTATTGGTAATAGCCATCTCGAATAAACTGAACACCCACTACACTAATTACAATCGTCCACTACTTACTATCTATATCCATGTACTTTACAAAATGTCGACACACTATACGATGTATCTCAAAATGGACACTAAGTGATGGACAACACAATATTTTGTTTAGACTCTCAATCACTATTACAAACATACACTACTCAATGGATAATTGTGCGTCGACGACCAACTAGTTACTATCTCCAGTCGATTCGCTCTAGTCCATCATATACATTCATCTCATGTACATTATCCATGTCCATCATTTCCTGTCCATTGTATCCTATCCATCGGCTATTGTCTCTTGTCCATTGTCTCTCATCCACCATCAACCTGCCTGGACAACAATGCGTGGATAATAATGTGTGGATGAGATTCCCCGACACCGGAGTCCTGGCCAATGGTATATCGAATAATATATAGCTTATCCACGCAAGCTTGTCCACAAAAACTGCCCATACGGACAACCTAATATCTGGTTCACTTCATCGTTTTCTCCACCACCAGCCTAAAACACAATCAGATCTGAATAAAAATAACACATCTGGTTCAACTTGCAAATACACATATAATAACAATCTGACCTCTGCAAAATCAAAACAACACCATCTTTAATTGTCGGCAACTCTTTACCTTCCATCAGAAATGAAGGTCTCTCAACAAATTCTAGAATTTGTGGGTACTGCAAATAAATATGTGCTGAAACTTGCCAGATGAGAGAGAGAGAGAGAGAGAGAGTGCCGTCGATTTAGTCAGTTATATCAATGAAGACTGATATTGTTAAATCTATGAAATCCTAAAAAATAACTAAATTTTGTAGGTTAAATTGATTAAGGGCATTTTAGGGTTTTTATGTGCTTCACACACACCACACATGCACAAAAGTGCCTTCATTGCACAAAGTGCCTAATTTGTAATCAAAAGTGATAAAAGTGCATCTATGTGTAATTAACTCATTTTTATGTGGGTCATAGTTGATTTACATATTATTGAATAACATGGCTATATTCTTCAATACTTACTCTCATATGGTTATATCTAAAAAAAACCATTCGTAAAAGCTGAGCCGTGGTAAAAAGTGGTGGCCCAGCCAAGTCATGAGGGTCGATTTAATTGAGTCCACATAAAACGGATCATCTAAATTGGCCCATTAATGAGTGGCATTAAGGTTTTACATTTTAAGTTTTCTTTTTGACTTTTGTGTGTTTTGTTCTTTTTTTTTTTTTTTAGTTCAAAGTATTTAACATACACGTATGTGAAGCCAGATTAGAATTTGGGCATTAAGGCATGAAGAACAACAATCCAATAGGGTGAAGAACAATTGTAATTTTGTCCAGTACTAGGGTGTTCCTTTTGGTCCAATAAATTTATTCAACGGGTTACATATATTTATTTTCTCAATCTCATATATGTCATATCCAAATCTAATTAGATCTAAATGATAAATATTTTTTTGAAAGAAAATGACATGTTGAAAGTGCATGCATGATAGTTCCATCTTTCAGTATGACAGCCATTAGGTTATCATGTCCTTCAAAGATACTAGAAAGAAAAAGTTCAAGAATTTACCAAAAAGGTACTTTTTATGTTTTATCATAAGAAAATGTATTTAGTTCAACATAGACACTTTTTCGTCATTTAGCAGGTTGAATGACGAAATTATTCTTAATAAAATAAGTGTGAAAATTGCTCTATCCATGCTAGTATATCCATATGGATGTCTACGTAAGTTTACAAATCATGATAAGAGTTTGGTTGTCTATACTCTATAATAAATGTGATAGATATATGGATAGATGGAGAAAACAAGGTATATATGTTGGTATATCCACGAGAATGTATCCATATGGATGTTCACGGTGGTTTACAAATCGTGATAAGAGTTTTAGTTGTCAACGGTTAGTGTGCCATATGGATAGACGGAGACAACAAGGTATGCATGTTGGTATGTCCACGGTGATGTATCCATATGGATGTCCACGATGATTTACAAATTGTAAAAAGAGTTTGGTTATCTATAGCGAATGTGCCATATGTATAGACGAAGATAACAAAGTATAGATGTTGATATGTCCACAGTGGATGGATTTCCACGGTAGTTTACAAAGAGTTTGGATGTCTATAGTGAATGTGCCATATGGATAGACGGAGATAACGAAATATAGATGTTAGTATGTCCACGGTAGTTTACAAATCGTGATAAAAATTTGATTGTCTAGTAACAAAAAGGAAAGAAGGATACAATTATTTTTCTAATAGGTAAATGTGCTCTCTATACATAAAGTGCATTTCTATATAATTAGAAAGTTATAAAATGTTTTTCTATGTAATTTTCTCAAAGTTCAATAAAAAAAGAAAAATCAGTACAACAATAACACCAATGTCTCTCCTAGAGATGACACATCAGCATTTTGGAGTTTTCTGAAGATGACACCTCAGCAAAAATATTCACCAATCAAAATATTTTATTAATACAATTCATCTACTCATTTTAATTTTTAAATTTAAATCCATTAAAAACTCAATACCTTTTCTATTAATCTTTATTTTATTTTTAAGCAAACCCAAACTCAAATAACTAATAACAATAAAGAAAAAAATTATTTATTTTATTTTTTACCAAACTCAAGCCCAAATAATAAATAACAACAAATAAGAAAACCAAATCTTTATTTTTGATTGGCAACACAATTTTCTATTTTTGATGGATAATTCGATTTCTTGGTTTTCGCATGAAAATACAATTTCACAGTTTTTTGCGGAAAAATACAATTTCTCAGTTTTGTTAGGAAAACACAATTTCTCGGTTTGACGAGAAAAAAAAATTCTTGGCTTTGGCGGGAATCGGGAATTTCTCTGTTTTACCGGGAATAGGGGATTTCTTGGTTTCGGTAGGAAAATATGAGTTTCAGTTTTGATAACAAAACATAATTCCTTGGTTATGGCAGAACAAAAGGAATTCTCAGTGGCTAGAAAATGTGAATTTTTGGTTTTGGTGAACAAAAAAATGATTTTGACTGGAAAACAAAATATTTTAGTTTTGACGGGAAAATGCTCGGTTTTTATGAGAAATACAACTTTTCAATTTTGACAAAAATGTGATATCTCTGTTTTTCTATTAAATATTATTGATTATAGTTTGGTAGTTTTAGAAACATATTTTTATAATAAATATTTTATAAATAAATAAATTTTATAATTCAAGATAATCATATTAATTAATAAATCTTTTTTTAAATGACAATTTGCTTTATATAATTACAAAGGAGAATGAAGTGACAATTTATTGGAGAAAATAGATTACATTTGCCATTAGCATGAAGGTACTAATAAATATATTGATTTATTCTTACATATACATATATAATTAGTTAGCTAAACAAATTTAATAGTAAAATATAATTTCAAAAAATAAAAAAAATTAAGAATATACAATGTTTATTCAAATTAAAAACATATAAATACATAACTTAAGCTAATAAAAAGTATAATACTCATTTCCATTATAAAAATAATTTTATTATATTAAAAATATATACAAAATATAGAAAAATATCTCGCAGCGTAGTGCGGGTAAATACCTAGTTTATTCAAAAGAACACACAACGAACAAATTGGCATTTTAACATGTATTCAAAAGTACCATTTGACCCCCACCCCCCTAACAATAATGTTTTCCACACTTGCTGCCACAGAAACTTGCAAGAAGATGTTGTGGATGCAGAACTTCTTGCTTGAGTTGGGAGTAAAGGTGCAAGGCTGACAGAAGTACCAAAACAACCACAATATGCATCACTTCCAATTGAAAGACAAATACTAGTCATTTATGCAGCTGTCAATGGATTCTGTGATCGAATGCTACTAGACAGAATCTCTCAATATGAGAAAGCCATTCCAAATAGTGTCAAATCTGAATTACTACAAGCCCTTAAAGGTGGCTAGAGGTTCGAATCCTGCCACCTTGGTTGCTTCCATAAAGGGGAAGCTCTCATTAATAAGTTGATGAGGGGAAGTGGAGTGGTGAGGCAGGCCTCTTCATTAATGATTATTAATGGTTAGCCAGAGAATAATTTCATTTGAGTTTGGTGCTAAGATACAAAGGTAAATGAGTTGTTTATATATGATTTGTCAAAAAAAATTATACCAAACAAATGTGATTTAAACATGAGAATGAACAAAAAAGCCAAGACAAGCGTCTTATGTTCAAAACAATAACCACTTCATAAGTCATATATAATGGAGCATGTACTGTTGTTAAAAACTTTGTACAACAAAACAACAAAGGAATTTGCCAACTTTGCAACATATATAATCGTCGGTCTAAAGCTTATAAAAATAAAAAAAATCTGAGGTCAAAAATAATAAATGAATGAATAGTTGAGAATTACATAGGTATACTTTCAAAACAGCCCCCACAACAAAGAAGAATTTACACTTTTTCCCAATCTTCTTTCCTTTTGGTTCAAGAAGACCCCTTCTCGACCTCAAACTAAAAAAGGTCAAGAGAGGAATAGCTTTTAAGAGAATCTGAGCTTCTCAACTTGCAGCAACTTCTTAGTGCAAGAATACGAAAGCCGGATTTTCAAGAAGCTCTTCTGCTGGTTTGATTCCTACAAAGTCCTTCTCTTGCATCGAACTTGAAATATCATCGATTGAGAAAGGAATGCTGCAAAAAAAAAAAAAAGCAAAAAGTACCAACAAAATTAGCCAAGAAACAGTTAGTTGTATCTCAATAAACTTCATTAAGTTTAATTTAATGTAAATGATGGATCTTGGATCATTTTAAACCCTAAGACCTTGAAACTTCTCTTAAAAGTCTATGCTTTATTCGTGTAACAAAGTTTTACCTGGAATCATCATCTAACAAGAAGGAATCACTGTCTGCATCATTGGATTCCTCTGTCATAAGTGCCCGCATACTCGATATCACCTGCAAGAGATTTTGTATTTTGTATTGAACAAGAAACTTCATATTTTTCTTTCATTTTGGAAGTAAAAAAAAAGGTTTTTAAAGTACTTCTTGTGAGACGCTTCGGGTGTTATAGCTATCGTCCCAATATAATGTGCAAATACGGTAAAGCTGCTGGACACTGAGGACCTGTAACAGCAAATAGTTGAAGAGAATGTTAGGCAATAAAAATGATAAACACCAAGTGTTTCTCTACAAACTAGAGCCTTACCGGGCAAAGATCGTTTGCTATTTCATCGTATGAGATTCTGTATTTCTGGTGAATAACCTAAAGTCGAGAAAGAAGAAGAAAAAGTAATGTTATTGTAGTTAAAAGGACCCAATGATTATCAAGTGGACCGACACAAGTTGATTAGTCTTAATAAGAATGTAGGAAGTATAACATACCAAGAACCCAACGGCTTGTCTGATATGTTTCAGTTCTTCCCAAGATGGCCCAGCATACTAACAATTCACAGAAAGTAAAAATCAATTTTGATACAACGATCAAAAAGAATAATTTAAGTGTTTTATGTAAGAAAGATTACTTCTTTGGCTTGACAACACCATAGCTCTAGCTCAGCAAGTCCGGATTTTACGAATTCACCATTGCTAAATGTACAGCACTCTTTACGCAGAAGGAGGCTGCAAGATAACCAAAAAAGAAAAGGCCGTGCAAGTGAGAACAAAGTGCATAGTTTTGTAATACGTGGGACTAAAAATTAAACTTACCTGTTGAAAAGTTGTACGTTGATGTAAGAGAATGTTTGAGAGTATATCTTCTGGATGAGTACTAAAGGAACCTGGACAATTTCACGTAACAACATATGAGAATCGATGTCTTGTAATGAGGAGGACACATACAGTAATGGAGATTTCTACAATTTTCCTTACATGATTCTCTTTCAATGTGACAAGAAGCGAACTGAGACCATCTATAATGCTTTGCCAGTGAATCGCAGGAGAATCTTTCCCAAAGGACCTACCAGATCTTAGCATCCCTCCTTTAGAAGTTCTTGGCGCCTGAAGTTTTTCATTTCGACAAACAAAACTTATCGTCAACAATGCGCAAATAACACAATCATCACAGCATTAGGATACAAAGGAAAAGCCAGCAAGAAACCTGAATGCACAGAGAAAGTAAAGTTGATAGCTCTTTCTTCAAGTTATCCCTAACCATCCCAAACATCTTCTCGACATAGGCTGCAAGCTGTTGCTTGAAAAGCAGAGCAGGGTACTTTGCCTCCACAGGGCGTATCACTGCGAGTGCAGCAGCTTCAGCTGCAGCAGCAAGGTTGCCTGAAGCGGGTGATGAGCGGAAGCTCTGGTGAACAAGACATAGAGAGAAGAACAGTTAAGAGTTCTGATATTGAAAGTAACCAAAAAGTCATATTAACTCAAAACAAGAATTGTAATACTAACCATAGCCATTCTTCCAAACAAAGAAGTTGAAGCAGGTGGCTTCTTGCTTTGTGTTGCTCCGGCGCCACCGGTTTTAAGACTTTTTTGAAGCAAAAACAAAAGTGCCGATGTACTTGTCAACCAATACGCCAAGTGACTATTGTCATCTTCGTTCTGAAAAAAATATCAGTAGAACGGTTGAAACTTCCTAGTTTAAGTAATTTAGATCATGTGTGTAAATCCTACACTGACACAATGTGAAGAAAAACATTCCCAATTTACCTCAATAGCGGAACCAATCATCTGAATCAGACGATCAAACACATTGGTCTTCTCGGATTCGAAGCATTTCCAGTGAAGAAGACACTTGTATATAGTAAATGCAGCCACAGGTTTCCCATTACTAAAACCAATGTTGTCTTTAACACAGTCAATGAGAGCGTCGACATTCATCTGCAGTGAAAGTACAAAATCAAGTTATCAGAACTAAGTCACTAAACAGCTGTGTGAAGAACTTTTACTAATGATATATTCAGCCAACATACAATTTGACGTTCTGCAGCAGTTTTCCCAGCGTTGCCATCAACTGGTGTTGAAAACTCGGCTTCCTAAAAAAAGATAAGACTTTGCAAATTAGTAAATTAATGAAAAAAACCGCAAACGAATCATGTGGTTGAGATAAGCTTGTTAGAGGAACTATACATTGAACTCGCTTTCCAAGTTTATTTGATGGCCATTTTCCAAATTCTACAAACAGAATGAGGGCAAAGTTAGCATCAAACAGCATATATTAGAGTTGCAGTGAGAACTTTCTACCTTAACAGGTGCAGTTGGAGGATGTCCAAGAGTAGTCCTCACAGGAGTAGCTGTGATTGTTTGCTGACGCATGATTTTTTTCTCAGCTTCCATGTCTAAGATTTTCTCTTCAAGCCTGCAAAGAGAAACATCAGACATTTTGAACAAGACAAGAAAGAAACCACCACAAGATTAGATTTCTATTGCAAAGGGTACCTTTGCATTGCAGTCTTCAGCTTCACTAGTTTAGATTCAGCCTCCAATGCTTGCTTTAGTCTATCTTGGCTAATCTTGGTTGTCTCTTGAAGTTTTTGCTCTGTCTCACCGATTCTCAATTCCAGTGAACTCACCATCCCCTGTGTAGTTTGGAGAAAATCTGTGTAGTTAGTATTTTGAAATATTGCATACATGTACGAGCTCTTCTCCAGTATTAAAGGTACTACAAGTTCAGAAACTCTCACAAACCTTCAGCTTTTCATTTTCGTTTGTGATCCTCTCCATTAACTCCTGATCAACCACAGGAACCTCTTTAATAATAGGGGCAATCTCGGCAACTTTCTTGGCAGCTTCACGCTCTTGAATAAGCAACGCCTCGGTTTCTTTGCACTTAAGTTGCAGTTCCTCCAAAGAAGACTGCGCTTTTGCACTTTCTTGTTTCTTGGCCTCTTCCAAGTCAGTCTGCAGCGTTGAAAGAGGATGAACAAAAAGTCTCCAACAAATTTTATAAAATGCAAGACGCCATGAAGAACTCAAGGTCAAATTCACGAGAAACAAAATCTTCAAACAGCAAGCTCACCCTTATCCGTTTTTCTAACTGTAATCTCCAGGTCAGCTCTTCAACTTGCTTCTCTAGCTTGTTCTTGGCTGCTTGAAGTGCTCCAGTTTCTCGAGCAGCCTAATGTGTAGTAAAATGAATTAATGAAATTGTGTTAGTTTCATTGCAAAGCAATATCTTTATAAGTGAGCTTATGAAAGAAGCGGCCATAGAACAAAACTAGACAAAGAAAGAAACCACATCTCACCATCTTAAGCTTCCGAAGTTCTCCACGAGCAATTTTCGATCTCCATGCACATTGTGTCGTGATAGTTGCTTTCTTTAGTTTTCTGTAATGCAGTCGGGCCAAGTATCCACGGCACCGCGTCTATAATAATATGAGCATTACCACGATCAGAATGACACAGAAACAACTGTTTCATTGAAGGACTCAATCTCCTTATGTTTATTGGTGTTCTCTGAGCAGTTGAACTTCTAACAGTACCACACTTTCTGCAATTTTAATATAAATATACCTGAATTATTATTGCCGCTTTCGTCTGCCTTCTCAAACATAGTTCGTTACGAGCAACCATACCACGCATACCAGCTTGGACCGACACGGCAGCAGAGAATAGCTCTGTGTAAGCCTTCCTAGCCAGAAACATACGCAAGTCTCTCTGGATCTTCAAAGCAGCAGCTTCCCTGCGCATGCCTTCATATACAATTCTAGCGAGATAACCTGACAAACACATAGGTTTGCAAGTTAGTACAGAAACTAAGTGAAAACAAAGACAAAGAATGGTCCAATCATTTTTGTCTAGTTAGACAAAAACCTCTGCAAACTGACTGAATCTGCCTAGCAGAATTACGCAGAAGGATGAAACTCTTTTTCGCAAGATATGACCGAACTTTTCTCTCGATAATGCTCGCTGATCTTCCCAAGACCTCGGTCCTACGCGTATCCAAGTCTGCCATTTGTCCAGCCCTCAGAAAAACCTTTGTCTTACCAATCTACAATAGTAAAATGTAAATCCTCTCACTATCAATGGCAGCTCATCACACAAGCAGTAGTTGCAATGCAAAAAAGCTTGATGAGGCAAGTACCTGATAACCTTCGAGTCCCACTTTCGCAAGAAGCTTCTTGCAAGCAGCAGGATCATCAGAGCTATCATAAAAGGAATCAGTTACAACATAATCACTCAGCAAAGAAAAATCCTAAGAGAGGGAAGGTCTTACTTCTTTATTAACACTTCTGGAGCAAGAATACCAAATCTGTCCAAGAACTCATCGAAATGTTTCCTAGTAGGATAACCAGCACAACTAATCCTGATTGCCTCCATCACTCCCTGAAGTCATGATGAACACAAACAATATTTTTCTTTCAGAGATATAAACTTTTCACGAGAAACTAAACTACAGAATCAACAGAGAATGTCATTCCGCACCCCACAACGTAGTTGTTGTAAAATGTTTTCGTTCTCAAAGATTCCAGGCTTGAGAAGGTTATTTGGTTTGATACAGCGTATATAGTGTGGCTCCGTGGTATTGAGAATCTCGAGTAACGATACCAATTGTTGCTGAAAAGAAGCACAAAAAGGAAATTAACTGACCAAAAACTCTTTAACATGTTACGTTGAAATTAGAAACCAAAATCAGACTCACCTTGAAACGAGTACCTATAGACGAGAATTTTGATTGCTTGGAATCATCAGCCATTGGTGGGAACAAACTTGCTACAAAGGAATCACTAGAAGAATTTAACAATGCCTGATGCTCAGCAATAACGTAATCTTTGTTCTTGTCCAGGAAAAGTTCTGTCTGATAAGTGACCTGGAACAGTTAACCCAATGAGTGTTAGACCATGTATCTACAGAACAATATTACTGGTATTTCTTGGAACGTTTTTCACAATCATGTGAACCAATGAAAGCAACGGCTGCTCACATCACCAGCATAATGGCAAATTGTGAAGTCGCTACGAGCTAGTTTTGGCTTGGTAAAGCGCTTGTGGTTTTTGAATGTCTGGTATAGCTTCTGTGCAAAAGTCTCATGCGTTGACCTTGGAAACATGCTGCAAAAGGCAAAAGTCTCACTTCAGCACAAAAACAAAACCATATTTTGTGAAGTAAACTGATAGCAAAGGAAATAATGGGCATAAGAGAAAGGGTTCAGAATCAAGAGTTTGGGTTTCATACTCACCAAGCTTCATCTAGCAGAGCAATAATACCTCCAGGTTTCTGACGAACACAAAACAAAAGTAAAAAAAACACCAAGCATGAGCAATCTATGAGAGGAGATCACAAATACTGTCAACAGGAGAAACATATTGTCCAAAAAAAAGCCAAGATGATGGCTTCGTTGCTTTAGTAGTATCGTAAGAATTTTATGTGTAAACTAACACTTCCATTGAACAGTGAGCATCAATATTCAGAAAGGTATCATTGAACATATACCTTTTCTATTAGGTCTAAAATATCTTGATTGTCTACGAACTCTATATAGCTCCAGTTGATCTCCTCCTTCTTATACTCCTCTTGCTCCATTTTGAAGACATGCTGCACCAAGAGAAGTTACACACCTCAGAACCATGGGCACTGCAGAATATATAATCCCAATAATCAAAAGGTAAAAGAGATTGTTCAGATCAAACCTGATTAAAATGCTGTTGAAGTTTTTCATTGGTTAAATTGATACAAAATTGCTCAAAACTGCAACAAAACTTGGGATTGTAAGTATTAGGCCAATGAACAACAAGAAACAGTCATGAATAATTCTTTAACAGTCAAACAATGAAGTTGCTCTTTATCAGTACTCTCCTTACATAACAAAGTACCGAGATAACCTCACAAGTTCACAATTGATAGGCAGTAAAAAACCTCAACTTTCCATGTTACAAACAAGCACTAGCTTCACTATGAAACTGATCAGACCCATATATTGTGTTCAAGACTTGAAGTATATAAATCCACTTTACTGAAGAAACCCATCTGACCAATTACGAACACAACAAGCATACCACTTAAGCACCTGTTTGTCTTGAAACTCTCGAATCCATAAATATCAAGAACACCAATCAAGTACTTCGAGTCAGGATCTTGACCAATTGAGCTATTAATCTTGTCAACAAGCCTGCAAATACCATAAAGCATTAGTATAGAACAATGATGGTGAACCACCTTTAAAGCTTATTTCTTCAAACAAGGAGGAAGCAGCTATTGAGTATCTTCATCACCAGGATAGAATCGAGAAACCCACCAGTCAAACAATCTTGAGTACATGACTTTAGCCAAAGCATCTCTACTAAGAGTAGCAGCTTCTGGATCAAGAGTTTTTGTGATGGTTTCATCACGAGTTACCATGATACGCTTGCACAACGAATCCTCAAGTGCCTTTTCATCGCAGCTGGAAAAGGAAGACGATATGAATATGGAAACCTACTTCACAGAAGAAACAAAATAAAACCAGCATTTACCTGAGAAGCTCAGCTGCAGTTTTCAGATGAAACAAGGATTTTTCATCTTTGGGAATCGATGAATCAATCTCTTCCCCTTTACCAAATTCGACATTCCCGAGATGGAGAATGGCAGCCACAACGCTGAAAATCGCATCCTGAAATGAGATATCAGCAAGGTATAAACCCTTTTACAGAGACAATACATCAGCTTTGGCTCAAATCTGTTCTGCTATGATTACCTGTTCCTCGGTACTGATCCCGACAACATCCATAGCCCGTCTTGTGGCATGATATTCCTCTGCATCATTTATACTATCCAACTCTAGACATTTAGATTGATTGAGATAGTGGTATGTCTTTGGTTCACCCAGCTTGAATCTCTGCACATCCTGACAATAGAAAAGATCATTTCAGAAAACAAAATGTGCATTAGTATGGCAAGCAAGGCTTAAAATATTCAGACATGTATCAGCAAGTACTTCAGTGTTACATACTCCTAAGTGAATTACAAAACTTACTTCCTTTGGAGCAGCACAAAGCATGTAGAAACAGTGATAGTTTCTTTCAGGATCAGAGACCTGACAAACACGTGACCTCTCCAGCAAATAAGTTCTTATGGCAGCTCCTGATATTCTTCCCTTTTCGTCAAACTGAATCTCCACGAACTTACCAAAACGACTATAAAGTAGACAAATTAACACAGTTGACAAACACTCCAATCGGTGATATTCAAAACTTACAGATGAAAGAATGCGATATGAGGGAAGGAAACTTTTTTACCTGGAATTATTGTTCCTGACAGTCTTTGCATTTCCAAATGCTTCTAAAACAGGATTAGACTGTAAAAATGACACAATTAAGAAGCTTGTAAGAAATAGATAAACGCAAAAAGAGGGAAGATGAACATCAATTGCAACTGGCTAATCAGATTGTCTTAATGTGGGTGGCTACTAGCAATACTTTTCTCAAGTTTCAGTTACTTGTTCACTCTTTAGTAGCTCATGAAAAGCAAAATCAGCAGAAGATTGAATACTTGACCATCCTCTTGAAGTTTTAGTTTTTTTGCTCAAGATTCTAAAAACAGGATTTGACTCAACAAAATAAATATATATATGATCGCTTTTTTTTCACCTCTAACACTTTCTGTTCAACACTTCTTCCCTCAGCAGCAGCTCTCCCTCCCATGTAAGCAAGATATCTCATAAGCAGCTTCGTGCTTTCAGTTTTACCAGCGCCACTTTCTCCACTAACCAGAATAGATTGACTTACACCATCATTAATCATCTGTCTGCATTAGAATAAACATGCAAAATTACATATAAGTATCAACAACAACAAAAATACAAAAACGCAAAATGTTTTTTTACCTATATGCAGCATCTGCGACGGCGAATGGATGTGGACTCAGCTCCCCTAAGGCAGCTCCTTTATACTGAGCCATCATGTGGCTACTATAAAGATGGGGAAGTCTTCTAAAGGGATTGACAGCAATCAGTATGCTTCCTGTATATGTCTAAAAGTAAAATGAAAGTTTAGTCCACACATATCAACAAACAGTACATATTCGAGATCAATATAAAATGACTCACATAAATCTCATTTATATCATATCTTGAATGCAAATTCTGTAAAACTCCAGGTTCGTGCAAATAAGCAAGCCTTGTCATATCGTCCACTCCAGATGCTGGCGCTTCCGTATCTTTTGGATAAACACTAGAGGCTTTTGTAACAACCTGAATTTTTCCCAAAAAATAGAAAAATAAGAACACAAAAATTTTCTTTTTTTGCTTCTAAGTTACATGAGACTGAAGCAAGCATACATGTTTCCCTGAAGTGCATAGGACTTTGATGTCTTCACCATTAACCTCTACAACTTCACCATCGACCCATGCTTCATCACGGTCTTCCACCCAAACACACGACCCAACTGTAGGATTGAAGTTACCAGCCTGTAGAAACAAAGTGTGTCAAAAATCTTACTTCTTAAGAATTGTGAGAACACACTACTAAAGACATTGTCACTACTTATACAGTCAAGTAAACTAAACGAAACATCTTGAGTCTCAGCTTATATGTCTCACAATATCTTTCAAATTACAATGGAGCTGACATTACATAAACAATAATCAAAAGGGTCTACAATTTGGAGTGCAAGGAGCTAAAAAACCAAGATGGAGGAACCAAAATCAAAGCCTTGAAAGTTTTCATCTTAACTATACAAATAGTTTTGGAGTTATACTCCTAAAGTTATTAAAAAGGAGACCAGAAACAGTAAATAGATAAAAAGTTGCAGTATGTGGCAGGAGAAGAGAATCTTTCAAAATTGCTTCTTGAGCTCTCACAAGCTCTTTAATGGTAATCGCAGCTGCTTAAACAACTACACATTCTGATACATTTTATTTCAGTCTACATAACATGAAATTTGATTTCCAATGGTTGATCAAAACCGTAAATGTAAGGAAATCAAAGTATTGTAGTAATGAACAATATAGCTTATGAAGATTGAAACAAGATTTGGACTAAGCGTCAAACTCTATACAAACAGGTCGTAGTTGAAGTCAAATCTATATAATCGCACAAGACAATAAGTAAAAACAAAGCATGATCCTCAAATTATAAACTCGTAAAAAACGCCAAATTAATCCCAAAAAGAAAAAGACAGAACCCAAATTTGTCTCGAGTCAAACTAACAAAACTCCTAAATTACTAATTTCCCCCAAATTAATAAGGATTTGATCAAAATGAACCAATCAAAACACGATGAAATCTTACCATTTCGTTTTCGTAGATCAGAGTCCTCAGATACAGAATCTGGATCTAGATTGAATCAAACGAGCAGTGAGCTTCTGAAATCTAACAAAAAAAAAAACAAAACACCTCCGAGCGAAGAACGTGAAGAAACTGAGATTTGGTGAAGAAGACGAGCAAAAGAAGAAGAGAAAAACAAGAAGGAGGTGTAAATCTAAACGCGTTTCTGGAAAAATTTCCCCCCGAATATTTTTTGAGTGTTATTTTGTGTCTCTTTTATTTTTCCTTGCTTTTTCTTTTTTTCCTTTTCGTGCTTCCCTCCTCTCTTCCACCTTCTCTGGGATTTGGTCTGAATTAAATTACTTAACATCATAAACTTTCAAGTATGTAATAAAAAACGATTAATTAAGACATCTTTATCCCCAAAGTACCCTGTGGTTTCGCATTATTACATACATAACTTAGTCTGCGCCTTTCGGACACGCAAAACCAATTTTGTCCGTTCGCAAAATCTTTTTAACAAAAAAGATGTCATTTCTGGAACAATTTATTTCTCTTTACCGCAAATTTCTGACTTGGACTACTGAAGATACAGTACAACTAATCAAGATCTTAATGGTGCAAGTATAAATAATTAAGATCTTACTGTTGAGAATACTGTTACTAATCCGTTTCATAATGCTGATGGAAGCATATATAGTTAAGATCTTAACATAATTAATTCACCGAATTGAGCAAAAAAGACATTTTATTAATTCATATCGAGTTTTTATGATGGAAAATCAACCTTAATTGGAGCTTGAACCGGACTGGTTATGTCAATAAGAAGCTCACAAAATCAACCCTATTGGAGCTTAAACCGGACCGGTTATGTCTATTGACAATTTTGCCACTTATATTTTTCGCTAGATAGTATATTGCTACTTGGTCGGTTACTTGGTGGTGCAAAGTATTATTATCTGTCTTATTACTTGTTCACATGATACACACGTAAAGTACGACGATGACACAAACGAGAATCTGGCATTAAAACAATAATTTTATTTTATTGAGAACAACTATTTTATTTCACATTTGATAAAACAAATAAATACAGACGCAGTTTTACGACCTTGCGCGTTGACTGTTGAGGCGTCAAGGAGAAAGAAAATTACGATCATGCCCCCAAGAAAGCTGCAAGGTTTGGATCATTTCGGAATGGAAGAGTAGTTCGAGCTCCTAAACCTCTGCAGCAGCAAGCCGCCTACAAATCGCAAACGCACATCGAAATGCGTGACGATAAGCGTTATAAAAATTGCGTCAGGATGAAGAAAAAAATGACAAAAGCAAATAACTTACGACACGAGATGCGAATTTCAACATTTCTTCTGAAGCCATGTCTGTGCACAAACCTGTGAGAAAGAACAACGGACCAAAAATGTAAATAAGAACATGATATGGAAGATTATAGTCGTTCGATTCGGTTTAATTAAATGCATTTGGCTTAACAATTGGTTTACTACGGTTTAGTGAAGCATATAATAAGTACCATAGAGCAAAGCTCCGGTAAACGCATCTCCTGCGCCAGTTGTGTCCATAAGCTCCGATGAAGGTATCTTCTCAGCTGTTACTAAAACCAATCTCCCTGTAACATTCCCTGCCAGTCTAGTCACTAGCTGAAAAAATTGTAAAGAGAAATACAAAAGATAATTACACAAAAGTGAAACTTGTGAAAAAATAATATGGGCTCATATGTCAAGTGAATAGTATAATAACAGAATTACTGAATAATTTTAAATGGAGTAACTGAATTGTATAATTTTTTGTAGAATGATTATAATTGCTGAAAAGCTTGTTTTAGTAGATTTATCACATTTTCTTCTTCTATTTATATGGTTAATACGCTAGTTTGTATACAGCGTAAATCAATTTTTAGAAAACGTGAAAACATGAAAATTTGATAAATATTGTGATAAAATAGATATTATGTGTTCAAATCATAAAAATGTGAAAAAACTAAATATCATTCAAATTCTATGTATCTTTTTTCTTTGAACAACTAAGTCCTATGTATCTAAAAATGGTATTTACCGACGAATTGCAGATTGGCAAGACACTTGTTAAGTCTATGCTTTGTTTGAGAGACTCGTGTAGTTCATCTATGTCTGTCTCTTCTTCTGAATCTGGAACCTCTGTAGTTATGGAAAGGAAAGAGAAAGACAATGTTCAGATACACAAGAAGTTGTGTGATTTGCAAGAAAATCGACAAGAACTCACCATTGGAACATCTCTCGAGCATCATACAACCGTGTTCTCCCAAAGTTATGATCACAAATTTCAGCTTCGGTAATCTAATGAGCATAGAGAGAAGCGCACTAGGGGATGATGGTGACTGAGTCCAATCCTGTTTTAAATCAAATTAAACAAGTTCATCTTTTAGGATTAATACACCAAACTATAATGAAACTGATGCAACAACATTTGTAACTAGTTATAAAACTAACACATTACAAGAAGTTTCAGCTCTCATAAGTTAGTAGATTCCATATATCTTCACTCTTGATTGATACAGAAACAAGTTTAAGGTACCAACATTAATAATTTTGATTAATAGATTTCACTAATCATCAAAGAAAGTGGTATGCCAAATTTGATTTGATATGATTCAACATTCACAACCTATGAACCGATCCGATTCTCACCTGAGGGAAGTTAGTAGAGCAAATGGCATAATCAGCTAAGTCAAGGAGCTCGTTAAGCCCTTCCCTTAGTTTCTCTGCATCAATTAAGATGGATATATTCTTGCTATGTGCCTGCACAAGAAAACAAATCTTCTTACAACAAAGTTTCCAGTAATAATACCATTATGTAACATATCTTAAACAGAGCTAAGCAAAACACCAAAGAGAGTATTATTTTATTACCTTTTGGGCAAGATGCAATTCAGCTCCACGAGACCTTCCATTTACATATAGAACTTTTACTCCATCAAGAACAGCTAAAAGGAGTGATTCAGTAAGATCATCTGGGAGGAAAGGAGGATACCCTGGAGTGAAAATACACGTACGAGTGTTCCTATATTTTTTTTTATAAACAAGTATAGTATCAAACGCAGGAGCAAGTTTTTTTCTTCTTCTATAAATATCATATTTGTATGATGAGAAGAATGAAAACGTCACACAGAGAGAGACACAAGTCACACAACAAAATAAACTAAAGACTGTTTTACCCACGTTTGGTTATCTACAATGACATAATTAAAATGTGAAGCTCCATCTTTAGCGGTCTGAGATTGAACAAGAAAGGATTTTTTTTTTTTTTAATACTACACTGATTGATTGATATTATATTGTATCATCAAAACAAATTTTTTTTAATGATCTTACCACACAAAAGGAAGTATCCACGCCATTAGATTCTAGTTCCTCTACCATCCATCTCCCTTGAGAATCATCAGCAACCTAAAACGATAAACTCGAAATTATTTGATTGGTAACACTATACAGGCATTTATAAGTTGTAAAGTTTTGTTTTTACCAATAAAAAAAAAATTAAACCAAAGCTATACAATTTTAAAAATGAAACTATTAGCTGTAAATTGTAAACCAAAGCTGTACAACTTCAGTTTACCGCACTCTCTTACATGATTCTTTACACTATTCCATAACCGCTTACAGTTCCAACTTGCCGCTAAAAAACTTGTACCGTTATCAGTTACCAATAAATCTAGTTTTTTTTTGCTGATTTTGTCATTTTTGCTGTTGTTGACAAAAATGAGTAATTCATGCTTTTTACCACCCGACTAATCTCAGAGTGGTTAAATAATTTCACCTCAAGGTGAATTGATCATTGACCTAGACTTACAAGACAACACTTCTGCAAATTTTCGGTCAAAAAAACACTTGTCTGCAAAATGGAGCCACTAGCCCACTAACACTTTGTTTGTCATTTTGTAAAGTTCAAAAAAAAAAAAAACATCACAAAAACCCCAAATCATTCACAGCAACGAAACTGTATAAAAGATTAAACACGAAGTGGTAATAACTAATAACCTTAGCTAAGATTCTAGAATCCAAACCCAAACGAGCAACGCATGTCAAAGCATTCCCAGTACCTCCACCTCCTTGGACCTGCAAAATTTTAAAACGAAAATCACCAGAAAATGTTAAACTAAAATGCGAATCAGAAAAAATCAACGACATAGGCGAAATCGTCAAGGACCTTGAAACTTGTGCCACGGATCTTTTGGTCGGGGATTGGGAAATACGGCACTGTGACTAAGTAATCCAGACAGAGTTGACCACAACCAAGCTGACATTGAAGTGAATCTAATTCAGTATCTTCAAATTCAAGACAAGCATGAGAATAAAAGAGAGAGAGAGAGATGAGGATACATACGACGATCGGGCGACCCGAATTTGCTTCGTTGGAGGGAGATGACATATCGGAGCTCCGGCTAAATTTCGAAGTGGGGGAGAGAAATGCTAGAGAGACGGAAGAATATTTATAGGGCCCTCAAACTTTGAAAAAGCAACTGAAACAAAAAGCTTTTGGTCTGGTTGAACCGTAACTAAATCGAACCGGGTTTTGAAATCAAATCGGACGACAGTTGAGAGCGAAATTTCCGGTTTTTTTTAATACATTATTAATCTTTCCCTTTCTAGTGCATTTCCATGAAAATAATCTACAACTTTGTGGGTAATTTTATGGAACTTTCCCTAGTGAGATACTCAGGATAATAAAAGACTAACCAGAAAATACCAAACAGCAACATTATCTTTACATCATGTAGAACCCACACAATTCAATTATACAATTTATGAGTACTTTTTTCTCTGTCATTAGTTGAAAAAAGAATATGAGAATGTATATTATAAGACCAAAAGTCTCAAAACCATTTTTCAAGTTAGATGCTTTTTGGTTTGTTTATTGAAACTTTTATATTCTTTCCCCTCGTCTTTTTTATGCAGGATTTGGAATTATCTAGTTTTGTAAAATTATAGTTGTTGAAAACTTGGAATTAGATTTGGTACAAATCAGGTTCACGGATAAAACTATTAAGCAGAGGCTAAGTCCAAAGATGTAGTCCTAATCCAATATGCATCGAGCTATTCACTTGTTCCTTAAAACATCCTTTGTATCAATTCAACTCATTCAAATAGAATTGGTCTAAAAAGGGGGCTTAATGCCTTCCACACTTCAAAGTTTAAACTATTATGAGGTGATTGAAAATTTGAAAACATTAAAAATTCAGAATTTATTTTCTGAATAAAACATATCTTTCGAGATATTTGTAATTTTTTTTTATCATTTATACTATTTAGGAATAAATTTCGAGATATTTACGAGGGTATGTGATCGTCCGAATGTGTTGAGCTGTGTTTCTGAATTTCGTGGAGAAATTATGAGATATAATGTAACCGTAAGTGAAAAGATTACATGGATGGTCAAGATGGAAAGTTATATTAGACGGCTGAGATGTACTCAAGAGAAGCTGAAGATACATAAAAGAAGCAAAGAGAGAAAAATATGATTTTTATCATAAAATTGTTGTGTAACAAAATCTTCTTCTTCATTCTCCATTTGTGGAGTTTATCAATTCTTTGGATTCAGTGTTTTCTGAATACTGAATTCGTTTCATAATAAAGTTTCAGATTCTTTTGAATACAAATGCGATGTATCAAAGGTATTAGACGAAGGACGTTTCTCGGAGCAATAGCGGTGGAAACTCGTTCTCAGGCGACAATGAGTGACGGCGATAACACAGTCAGCTCGCGATTAAACCAGATATTTTGCCGTTAACAAACATTGGAGTCTCGGATCACAGAATAAAACACAACAATCGCCAAAACAACGGCGGATCTGTTCGAAGCGATTCGTCAAATTACGGTACAACGACCTAATTCACGGCACCGTTTCAATGAAATCTGGTGAAGAATCACGAAGACGGCTAAACCTCTGGATCTGGTAATCATCTGAACTATGCTGGAATAACTAGGCTAGCTAAGCTAGATTTTCTGAGGTTTAATGGTTCTAGGTTGAAGGATTGGCTCTTTGAGGTAGAATAATTCTTTGTAATAGATCATACTCCATATGATATTAGAGTAGCGATAGTATCGATCCATTTGGATGATATCGCAGCTACTTGGCACCAGTCATTAATCCATGATGAAATGGAAAATCTGGATTTACGAGACTAGGACAGCTACAAAACATTGCTGAAAGAAAGATTTGACGATGCATGGGATGATTCGATAGCAGAGCTGAAAAAAATTGAGAGAGACAGAGGGCATAGTCGAGTACCATGACAAGTTTAAACCGTTTCGTACACGGGTGAAGCTTTCTGAAGAGTATTTGGTCAGCAATTATTTGGCAGGACTGCGAACAGATACTCAGATGCATGTGCTTATGTTCCAACCACAAACAATGTGTCAGTGTTTGATGTTGGGAAGATTGTATGAAACAGCACATCCTCCGAAACCTTTGGGATCTTCATGGTCAGCGACTAAGTCTCCTTCATCAGGAAAAGGGATTTAAACAACACCTAAGGCACAAGAGAACAAGTGGCCTAAAACAACGATGACAGAAAAGAGAGCGGATCAGAGTAGTCAACCAAAGGTGTTCCTGTCTTCAGAAGAAATGAATGACAGACGTTCCAAAGGGTTATGCTAATACTGCGATGAAAATTACACTCCTTGTCACTACAAGGTCCATAAGAAGACTCAGCTGTATTTCCTGGAGGTGGAAGATGATACAAAGGATGAAAATTATGAAGAGATGCTTGACACGGTAGAGCCAACAAGCGAAATAGCACAAAAATCAGTCAATGCAATTTCAGGAGTTGTGAATTTTAACACCATGCAAGTCAAAGGAGTTCATAAGAAATGTTCTCTGTTTATGTTGGTAGATTTAGGGTCTATACATAATTTTCTGGATCCGGTAATAGCAGAGAAGATGGGATGTGATTTGCTTTTAGGGGATGATGCCAGAGTAAAAGTTGCAGATGGCAATTGTTTGAATGTTCAAGCCAAAGTGAGTCAATTCCAATGGGACTTTCAAGGCACAAGTTTTACAGAAGACTTCATGGTGATTCCACTAAAAGGATGCGATGGAGTATTGGGAGCGCAATGGCTTTACAAACTTCGTCCAATCACGTGGGATTTTAAGAATCTTACTATGAAATTCTGGTGGGGCAACAGGAAAGTAGTGCTACAAGGGATTCAACCCGGTTCAGTATGAGAAGTAAAAGCTGAAAGGCTTAATAAACTTCAAGATTCTGCCATCGAACTGTCTATGATCTGTATCAGCAAGGATGAGATGGAGGATCCGGCTGCTTGCTTTGCACTGGAAACAGTAGTAGATAACCCAATGATATCATCACCTCTCGAAGGGGTTACTGAACAACTTTGCAGATATTTTTCAAAAACCAGTGGGATTACCTTCATCACGAAAAGGTCACAACCATAAGATTCAGTTAATAGATGGTGCTAATCTAGTGAATATAAGACCTTACCGCTATGCAGTCCATCAGAAGAATGAGATTGACAAAATGGTGAAAGAGTTGTTGGAGAATGGTACAATTCAACCGAGTTGCAGCTCCTTTGCGTCTCCAGTGGTACTGGTTCAGAAAAGGATGGTATGTGGAGACTATGCGTGGATTACATAGGGTTTAATGGTCTCACAGTGAAAGACAGGTTCCCCATTCCGTTGATTGAATATTTAATGGATGAATTGGGTGGCTCGACGATATACTCAAAGATTGATTTGCGAGCTGGCTATCATCAAGTGCAAATGGACCCATTGGACATTGACAAAACTGATTTTAAAACTCATAGCGATCATTATGAGTATTTAATCATACCTTTTGGTCTGACAAATGCCTCCACTACGTTTCAGGGATTAATGAACTTCATATTTCAAGAGTTCTTAAGAAACTTTGTCCCGATCTTCTTCGACAATATACTCATATATAGCAAATCAATAAAGTTACATGTGCAGCACTTGGGAAAGGTGTTTGAGGTCATGAGGACTTAACCGTTGTATGTTAAACGCAGTAAGTGCGCATTTGATACCTCACGGGTTGACTATTTGGGACATTTTATCGAGGATAAAGGCATCTCTATAGATCCCACAAGATAAAAGCAGTGGCTGAATGGCCGGTTCCCACAAATTTGAAACAGTTGAGAGAGTTTATGGGACTGGTTGGTTGCTATAAGCGCTTCGTGAAGAACTTTGGCAGTATAGCAAGACCTCTTACTATTCTTACGAAAAGGACTCGTTTAATGGTCCGAAGAAGCCAAAGGTGCCTTTGAATACCTGAAGAATGCATTATGTACCACGCCTGTGTTGGCCTTACCGTTATTTGATAGGCTATTTGTGGTGGAGGCAGACGCATGTGGACATGTATTGGTACAGTACTTATGCAAGATGGCCATCCAATAGCTTACATCAGCCGTTACTTGAAAGGAAAACAGCTCCACTCATCATTTATAAAAAAAGTTGTTGGTAGTAGTGTTTGCAGTTCAAAAATGGAGGTATTACTTGCTCACATGCTACTATGTAATCAAGACTGATCAACACAGCCTCAAATACTTACTAGACCAGAGGTTGAAGACACCTATTCAACAACAATGGTTGCCTAAGTTGTTGGAGTTTGATTACTAAATTCAGTATAAAGAGGGCAAGGAAAATTTAGCAGCTGATGCTTTATCTCGAGTTGAGGGAGCTGAGATTTTACATATGACATTGTCCGTCTTGGATTGTGATTTATTAAAGAGGATTCAAAGCTGTTACGAGATAGATATTCAGACTAAAGAGGTGATTGAAGCACTGAAAGCTAAACCGGGGTGAAAGAAACATATGACATGGTCTCGTGATATCTTACGCAGGAAGAGTAAAATAGTGGTTCCCAACGATATTCCTCTGTGTGATGCTGTATTGGAATGGCTGCATTGTTCGGGCATTGGTGGACATTCTGGAAGAAACGTAACTCATCAACGAGTTAAAATCATTTTTTACTGGAAGGAGATGAGTAAGGATATTCAAGCATACATTTGAAGCTGTTCTATTTGCCAGCAATGTAAGTATGATACAACTGTTTCTCCAGGATTATTACAACCATTGCCGATTCCTCAAACGATTTGGACCGATATTTCTATGGATTTCATTGAGGGACTTCCCTTGTCATTTGGAAAATTCTTCATTTTCGTGGTTGTGGATCGTTTAACTAAGACAGCTCACTTCATTATGCTAAGTCACCCTTACACATCAGCTTCAGTAGCTCTAAGCGTTCCTGGATAACTAAACTCCATGGGTTCCCGAACTCCATTGTTAGTGATCACGATGTTGTAATCTTAAGTGACTTCTGGAGAGAACTCTTTACATTGCAAGGAGGTCGCACTTAACTACTCAAGCACCAATCATCCCCATAGCGAGGGACAAAT